CGATAGAACTTAATGTCTTTGAACCGACTACCGTTTGTGTAGACCATGACATATCCCACACAGATTTTCTGCTACTGTGTGGACGATTACATATCATCACACAACCTGTTACTGTTGTGGTGTTTTCTGCTGTTGAAACACTCCTTTTCATTTGCTTGCTTGCACGGTTTCTGTTTGGCATGCTGCGCTGGCCATGATTCTACTTTAGCTTCCTGAAATTTTATATACCCTGGGAATGAAAGACTGAATGGTAAAACAATTCAGAGGTTTCAAGTTTTCTCTTCTGTTAAATGTGCTCTACACCCATGCTTATGCTGGGAATTATGAAGGCTTCATGTTATCAAATGCATGTACATCTGGTTTTTGTGGTCTCTTGTAAAATGCTCATGTCAATTTCTGATTCCCAATTTGTCAATTTTTAATGTTTACATTTATATATTGTATTGGCTTATACATCACCATCTGCTAAGCAAAAATCTTTGTACATACACCATCATTGAGATTCAAATGCTAGATTAAGCAACAAATAGCTCAGCCTTTCCATCTATGAAGAGGCTCATGAACTCTTCACCATCAACGGTTTCCTTTTCGATTAGCAGTTGAGCAAGCTTGTGTAGGATGTCGATATGAGTTGTAATGATCTGCGTTGCCCTCGAGTATGCCCTTTCCACCAGCTCTCTCACCTCCGCGTCAACCACATCAGCGGTTGCCATCGAGTAGTCTTTCTGGGTTGACATCTGAAGTAAACAACGTTAACGTTAGATGGCGCTTACTACAACTCGTTTTTTTTTTTTATTTCACTACTGGAAATTACTAAATTTTCGACCACCTTAAATTGATCTTAAATCAAGTCGTAAGCAAAAAGTGATCGGAAATAGCAATAAAGGTTTTTTCGAATACCAAAAGTGGTCGGAACAAGGATTTCTTTCGACTTGATTTAAGATCACTTTCAAGTGGTCGAAAATTCCATAATTTCCAGCAGTGTTTTTTGGGTGTAACTCAGGGTTTCCACTGTCGGACACAGTGACTGATCCCCTCGCTGACCTAAAGGAAAGATGTAACGGAAGGTTTTTTACCTGTTGACCTAAGAACGGGTTTCCTCCAGGTCCACCGATGGCTATTTGTCCGATCTTCTTACTGAAGCCAAACCTCTCGACCATTTGTCTTGCCACCCGCGAAACTTGCATGAAGTCATTTGAGGCACCGGTTGTTACGTTGTCTTCTCCAAAGATAACCTCTTCAGCAACCCTGCAAACGAAAGGAAGGTTAGGAAGAGCCGAAGAGGTTTAATTTCTTCTTGTTTAGCAGATCATGAATGATGAAAGAAGGAAATTCTTATGAAGTAGCACAAAGATGGTTTAACTGACCTTCCACCTAAGGCAACAGCCATCTGATTCTCCAAGTAACTTCTACTGTATAGCCCCGACTCAAGTCTTTCTTCACTTGGAGCAAAGAAGGTAAGACCACCAGCTTGGCCACGGGGAATGATGGAGATCTTGGCAACGGGATCGTACTCGGGCATAAGTGCTCCGACTAAAGCATGCCCAGCCTCTGTTATCAAAACAAACACATTTACGGGATTACTATGCGTGAAACATATGAAAGACGGGACTGAGAAACGCTGCACAATGTGTTTTCATACCATGGTAAGCAACCAACTTTTTCTTCTCATCGGACACAACGGCATTTTTCTTCTCTGGGCCAGCGATTATTCTTTCTAACGCATCAGAGATCTCGTCTTTGCTTATTTCCTTAAGGTCACGCCTAGCTGCAAGGATGGCTGCTTCATTCATCAAGTTTTGCAAATCAGCACCAGTAAAACCCGGTGTTCTCCGGGCAATTTTGTCAAAGTCCACATCCTTCGCAAGAGCCTTTCCTCTCGAATGCACCTGGCACGCAAAAGGTTCGAATGTAATAAAAGGAAATAACTATATCATTGCAGATGTTTTCTGACTATATACTATAACCTGAATTTCCCTTCTGCGATCTCATGGAACTTTACAAAAATCAACCAATCTATCAATGTTGTCAATTGAGGGAGCGAGGGATTCAATTACTCAAGTTCCAAGATAAAGCTAATCTACGAGCTTCATCAAAATCTAAGACTGTACAGCTATAGATCATAGTTGCAAAGAACAATGCCCCAATTCATGCCCACATAGGCAAGTGTAGGTTTACTTCCTACTTTTCTGAGTACTACTGACTCTGTTACAATGCAGTATCTGTTCTAACTACTTTCTCAACCTACTGAAGCCCAAAGAGTTAATACCGCCCCCACCAAGGCTCAAACCCACAACCTCCCACTGACTCTGTTACAATGCAGTATCTGTTCTAACTACTTTCTCAACCTACTGATGTAACTCTGTTACAATGCAATATCTGTTCTAACTACTTTCTCAACCCACTGAAGCCCAAAGAGTTAATACCGCCCCCACTGAGGCTCAAACCCACAACCTCCCATTGACTCTATTACTTCCTACTTAGTTACGTTACTTACGTTTCAACAAAGATAACCTACACTTCTATTGCTACAAGCTAAACAACATGATTAATTTGATGAAATTGAAAATGCACAATAAGGAGTAACATATAAGGCGATAACCATTGACCATAAGATGAGTTCACTAACCTGAAGGATCCTCACTCTACCAGCAACATCGGGTCTGTCAACCGTGACCTGCCTATCGAACCTACCGGGCCTCAGCAATGCAGAATCAAGAACATCAGGCCGGTTAGTTGCTGCCAAAACTATGACCCCTGAATTGCCAGAGAACCCATCCATTTCAGTCAAGAGCTGATTAATAGTCTGCTCTCTTTCATCATTTCCACCTCCAAGCCCTGCTCCTCTCTGCCTCCCCACTGCATCAATTTCATCAATAAACACAATGCAGGGGGCTTTTGACTTGGCTTTCTCAAACAAATCCCTCACTCTGGAAGCCCCCACACCCACAAACAGCTCCACAAACTCTGAAGCTGCACAAGAAAAGAATGGAACCCCAGCCTCACCAGCCACTGCTCTAGCCAAAAGGGTTTTCCCAGTTCCAGGTGGCCCAACCAAAAGACACCCTTTTGGGATTTTTGCACCCAGGGCAGTATATTTATCAGGGTTTTTCAAGAAATCTACCACTTCTTGTAATTCCAGTTTGGCTTGATCAGCCCCAGCAACATCAGCAAATGTAACCCCAGTCTCTGGCACCTCCTGGAACTTGGACTTGGACCGGCCAAAATCCATCGGCCCACCAAGCCCTCCCGGACCGCCGGGTCCTCCCTGAGCTCGCCGGAAAAGAAAGAAAAGCCCGGCGAAAGCAAGGAAAGGGAAAAGCAGATTCCCAATAAAACTGAACAGACCATTGCCGCCTTCACCCTCGGAAACCGATATATCAACGCCATTCATCGCCAGGATGTCAATCAAATCCGGGTCGTTGGGCACAATAACCGTGGCCCTCCGCCCGTCCACGGCGGTGAGCTGGAGGGCACTCCCATCTTTGCTGAACCGAACCCTCTCCACCTTCCCCTTCTTCACCGCATTCAAGAACTCACTGTACCGCCACTGAGAGCCCTCGGGGAGGTCCGAAGCGGGCTGGGCCTGGGGCTTGGGGGCATTCAAGACAACATTTTGGGAAAACGGCGAGGCATTAGAGGCGGTGGGCTGGGGAGCTTCCGCTTGAATTTCAGTGGGCGGAGCAGCAGGGGTAGCGTTATCAAGCGCAATTGCTTGTGGAGCGATAGAAGAGAACAAAAGAGCAGCAAGAGTGGCCTTTGAAGAAAGACCCTTGAAGCTATCTGGATTCGAATTCTTGGTGAGAGATTGTGGGGCTAAAAATCTCCTCCTGGAGTGGAAAGGGAGGTGTTTGGTGGTGGTTTTGGGGGTTGGGAGTGAAGTGAAGATCTGGGTTCCACCCAAGAAAGTCGAGGAGAGCAAAGATTTGGTTGTGGACGCCATGATTTCGCTTCAATTCTGAAAGTTCCTCAAGAATTGGGAAGAAGGGATGCTTGATATTTATGGGGGAATTGAGAATGATTTGTTCATCAAACGTTAGCCATAGATTTTGATGTAGCTTGGGTTGCTTCTACGTGTACTAAATGCTATCCAGTGACTCTCTTGATTATTTCATTGTTTGGAAAATTCCACAGCAATGGCACGCTGGCACCATATTGTGATTGTAATAATTGTATTTTGATTTTTTTTTTATAGTTTTTTTAAAAAATTTGATAACTTTTTAATAGAAGTGATAAATCAAATTATTTAAATTGAAAAAATGAAAATATAAAAATCGAATTCATAATTCTTGCCTTTTAAAAGGTGTTTGGTAAATAACTCTTAGTTGATAGTGGTTAGCTAATTAAATTAATGAGTTTGAGTTTAGTAAATAACTCTTTGAATGCTACTAGCTCTATTAGATTGTAGTATCTGTTCATATACTTTCTCAACCTACTGAAACACAAAGAGCTAATAACGCCTTCACTGAGGCTTGAACTCACAACCTTCCTAATGGAAGTCCAACCCGGGTACCATTGGACCACATAGTCCTGGTAATAATACTCTGATAACTAATTACATGCAAAATGATTTTTTCAAAAAACTTATCAAAAAGCTATTATGAGTAAGTTACTCCGTCCGCGAGGCTTGACTAGAGTTATTTTCAATTAAAATTTTCATAATATTAAGTTTAGTATTAATATACAAAATTTATATATTTAAAAACTACACTAAAAATACTATTAAACACAAAAAAATAAATAAATAAAAATAAGTAAAATACTAAAAAAAATAATAATAAACAAAGAATAGAAATTTTATTTGACCAATAAAAGTAAGTATGACTGATAAAATGAGACAAAAAAAGTATTATAAAATGTTAATTAATCAAACACTCATATTAGTTGTTAACCAAGTCAAAATTTATTGATAAGCTAACTATGTTACCAAACAAGACTAATGTCTTTGTTAAAAATATTTCACCTCAATTTCTAGAGCCTCGTTACTCATACTTTGAAACTTTAGTAGAAGAGATAAATCACATTATGAATTTCAAAGTTGTCAAAAATTTTGTACACTGGGTCATTGGTACTAATAACAAGTTACCAGTTGTTACTCCGCCTCTTTCTACCTCTTTCTACTTCTACCGAGTAGAATACAAGATTTATCAACATATGATTGTTGATTCTCCAACACGTAAAACTTGGCTCTTCACTGTTGATCAGCCAAAGTCTGAAAGTTTTATAGCGGAAAATGTACACATAAAAATTCTACAAGCATATCCAAAAATACAGAGATTTGTTTTGTTGTTAGCTTCCTCCATGCTGTTTCAGTGAGATTTCAGAACCCAACTTCTCCACCACTTTCAACACTGATGAGTTTCCTTCACAACCCTCTCTCAACTTCTGTAATCTATTTTCAGTTTCGCAGTTCTGTTGAGACATATAGGCATCTGCTTTCTCGTATAGGATTAAACTAATCATCATGCCCTGCCATCAAACACACTACTTTAACCCCTCACACCATTTATACCAAAAGTTTTTGAAATTGCAAGATGCACTCGTTTATAGAACTGAAATTGCAGGGATGTAGAAAGGATCGCAAACTAATGCACAATTTGATAATTCATTCATACTATACGTTAGTGGTTGATTAATGTGCATACCTCATGGTGCTGTTTACGAGAGCAGTCTCGGAGGAGGGATCTGACGAGCTTATTTCGTAATGGCAGCATGTCACCGGAACACGTTTTGAAAATGAAAGTTGAAAGGTGGTGCAAGGCAAGCGTGAATGAGGCAGAGAGTCGAGTCGATGCCTTGTCCAGAGCACCAGACACCCATGACTTAACATAAGCCTCCAAGATCCTCTCGTCATCCTGCATGGAAACCAACTACCTAAGTTATCCGGTTACTCTAACAACGTGTTTGGTTCATGGAATAGGTCAGGGATGGAATACCATAGACCTATTCCATTGTTTGTCTTGTCCTTTTATTCCTGGGAATAGCATTCCCGGGAATAAGCTATTCCCTTTGCAGGGGGAATAGCCATTCCTAGGGGACCCCCTGGTATTAGCTATTCCCAAGTATTTGGGAATAGCTTTTATACTATAATACCGAAACAAAAAGCTTTTTCATTTCTAGTAACAATGGAATATATGTATATATATATATATATATATATATATATATATATATATATATATATATCAACATTAGTTTAAAAAGGATTTTAGATACGCAAAAGTTGATCAATGTGACTGGGGAAGTCGTTTTATATCACATTTACCAATACATGACCATCTGGCAAAGTTATTGGCTACACAAGCAATAAAAGTTAGGTTGGAAGGAATACCTCAACAGGTTCAAGATAGCCATCAGCTGTAGAAATGCATTTCTCCAAAGGAGGCAGAAGCTCGAGAGCAAAAGCAGTAGACAGTGCATTCCAAGTAGCAAGCCGCACAGGAGCTTCAACAGATCGATGCAAGTAGCATGCAACTTGGCGCCCAAATAAAAAATCACCATAGGAAACAGCAGCAAATTGCTCCACCAGAGTTTCAACGAAAGTAGAGTAGCCATCGTGTATCTCTGTTTGAAAATTCAGGGACTTCACGTCAGTGCTTCCTCCTACATCAAGAAGTTGCCCGTATATATTTTGTAAATTTTCATAGACAATCCTACAATTCCCCTCCTCGAGAACATTCATTCCAGTTAGTAATACAACTGACAAAGCATGCAATTTCCAAACAACTGGCACATTCAGTACTGGCGAAGGGGAGCCAGCAGCAAGCAATGTGGATGCTGCTTCGATACCAAAAGTAAAGAAAAGTCCACCCTTCAGAACATCAAGAAAGCCCGTATGCTCCTGATTGGAGGTCATGGTGTTAGACGCGATAGATGGAAATTTATTTTTGCTGCAATGAACAGTTGACAGTGGACTGAGGAACCAATGCAAGGGAAGAGGCAACCTCTGATGGGCCCACTCAACTACCAAAGAGGTTGGATCCTGGGTTGTAAGACTTGATACGGCTGTTTCCTCGTGAATGGTTCCCAAGGAAATTCTGCCTTTCTCAGACTTATTGTGTGCTTGATCTCCATCCGAAGAAATACGTTTCTGTTTTCTGCCCAACCATCTGTTTCTGGAGTGAGAGATTAAAGCATTACTGAACAACAGATAGTCCTCTTCTTTGTATTCCCATTCAAAAGGCTTAAGCCACTTTTTAAGATCAATTGATTGACGAATAATAAAATCAAGAGACTTTAGAACAGGAGCTTGGAACAAGATACCAAAGAGCTTATCTATTGTAGATTGACCTTTGGGCCCTAAAACCAAACACACTGCCAGGGCAGAATTTATCCTCCGTATCACAGAGCTCATCTCTTTGAGGGTAAATTGGTTTTCCGAAGAGATTATCTGAAGTGTATCAAGAAGGTAGACAAGCAGTATTCCATCTACCTCAGCTGATAAAGTAATCTTGGACCAAAACCCTCCACCAGATGCACCCCAGCCAACACCAATTCCAGGAGCAGGGCCACCTCTACCAAATGTCTCAATTGATTGCATAGGTTGCCACTTTGGATCAATTAACTCGGCCAAACTTGTGATCAGATCCCCTAAATCAGGCAGACAAGACTGCAGTATCCCATCACTGAGAATTTTATCCTCTCGTGATATGGTTTGATAAATTGATGATGCATCGTGAGTCTTGCAGTTAGCTAGTGAGATCAATTTATTAACAGCCACAACCACTTGGATCACTCCTTGAAGACAACAAGTGGAAGCAATAGATGTTTCAACTCCACATTTAAGTCTCAGAAGGCACAAAGACTCTAGGAGGGAGCCAGTGCCAGCTTGACCATCAAGCTTATTACCACTAACTCCTGAAAAGCTAAAAAATCCATTCTTAATAACTTTAAGTCCAATCTTAGGAACAAATTCAGGCAGCCATGGCAAACGCCCATTACAAAGGTTTATGTTATCCTCAGGGATGACAGCTTCAAGGATCCCAGAAAACATATGCATAGCCGATGAAATGAGCCACAAAAGGGAATTAATTTCTGATTCCTGAGTTACAGAATATTCTTTGTGTTCATTTTCACATTCAAGTAATCTGCATATATGTGGAATATTATTTATAATTGTCCACTCTAGGGCAGAGTCGATCAAAGGGCCAACACTACTCCAAGACCAACTCTCTGTGTCTTCAGTAGTAGCCTTCATTTGATGCACATTTGAATAAAAATTAGGAAGCCTTTTACTCAAAGCCCTCAAAACAAGGAATGCTTCCTTCGATATCATAGCATACTCTTTGACTACATTTTTCTCAATAAGCTTCTCAAAGGCAGGGAAGGTCAACCAAATACACAAGGCAGGAAATAGGTTGGAAAAGTGAGATACAGAATACCCATAGTGAATGCAGACCTCCCAAAAACGTAATTGCTCAACCAGAAGAGCCGATGAAAGCTTACAAGCCTCTCTTCCAGATTTTAACCACTGGTCAAGAGAGGATGAATATAGGTATAAGTGCAATGTCATCTTCTCGAAAATCCCATTGTTAACAAATTCTGCACAGTTCTTCTTACTGACTCGGGCCAAGATCTGCAATACAGTAAAGAACACTGATAAGAATACTGCCACGTCAGCACAAAAAGTTACTTCAACAATGAAGCAATAATATTATATGAAACTGTTATGGAAAACATATACTTACTTTTAAGAGAGTAACTGCTTTTATCTTGGAAGTAGTAATTTTCATTGGATCTATTGCAGAGAATCTGTTGACAATTATTTGCACCAGGCTTTTGCACTTCATAACTGCATTTGCACATGTTGGCGAATGCCTTGCAATTGCAATCAGGATCGACAATGTGCATTCTTCCAAAGCTGCTGAAGGGTCCATCTGGAATCACATACATTGGCATGTAAGACATGAAAACAAGTGCAGTGTTAGGGTGAGTTAGGGAGAACAGGAACTGCTCTCCAGAGGGCCTTTGGATGAATTATGGTTAGAGCAGTCAACTGCTTTAGTCACAGCAATTTCAACTAGAGGGATAAGGACCCAGTGGGAGTCGTGTGAGTAGAGTCGTCCAACTACTCAAATCTTACCACTACCACTTTAACTATTCTCCCTAAGGGAACCTTAGCCTATGTTAGTAGTTAGCCCTCAATGCAAGAAAAATGATTGTAGTGCTTCAGGCTATTATGAAAAGAAAGGACCAGCTTCATGAGATCAAGCATACTACCTCCAGCAGATAGCAGAACCTTTGAATGATTCCCATTCTAACCAACCCAGCAGCTATATCTTGTCCTGCAACCACAATGTCATCTTGGATAGTATGCTCATCTTCAGGTTTGTTGTTAGGAGAATCTTCAGCAAGAGGAAGAATATTAGAAGGCTTAGTATTGTACTTCCAAAAACCACCATGAAGAAAGCCACCATCAATATCTGGTCGACTTCTAAAGACGGGAGCTGTAGGAGCATCCATCCAATAATAGGGTATCCTCTAAAACAGAATAACATAATAATAAGACTAAAAACATTGTAGCACAATATTAGTTCAGAAAGTGAAAAAAAAAAAAAAAAAAAAAAAAAAAAAAAAAAAAAATTATTCCAGTACCTCTGCAATATCAAAGAAGCTCTCATTGATCTCACAGGTCAGCACACACTGGATGACTTTTGCACAAGCCAGAACTACAGAATTGTGGTTGTCATCAAGACAAATCCTACAAGCGTAAAGGAGCCATCCTTTAGTTACAGAAAATATCACAAGTTGCGCTTAGTTGAGTTTGATGTCAACTATTTGCTTTTGGTGATCAAAGTCTCAAAACAATTAAGGCCAAGGTCAAGTATAGACCCTAAACTTAATCAAGCCAAGCTTCAAAGGGTAGGTTTGGCTCAACTCAACTCTACTCAATTCATTAATAGTCCCAAGTCAAAGGCTTTTACATTGAAAATGAAAAGAAACAAGGTAGCATCCAAAACTTACCTCAGTGCCAATGCAAGTTCAGGTTCAGGGCCAAGTGCAAAAGCCCAAATAGCCTCCCAGTCAATAGAGTCATTTGTTCCTGTGTAATTTAAAGTAGACGCAAATTGATTTTGACAAATTCCAAAAATGGCTTTATTAAGAACAGATGCAATAAGATGTAATGCAAGTGCCCGTTGCCCAGAAATCTGCATTGCAAAAAAAAAAAAAAATTAATTAATTTTAGATGGCAAGTGTTCATACAGACAGAGAAATGTAGTACATGGAAAATTCAATATCAAATAAAATGATTTTACTAACCACACTCCTTGTGAGAGCCACTGCTTCTTTAATGGTGTAACCAGCAGCACCAGGATCACCTTCAGTTCGAATAAAATCACGCTCTGATACATTATGTAGAGTATAATCACTAGAAGAGGATATAGCACCTGCTAAAGTGAAGGGAAAACATTATGTACCATGTTAGTATCACCTTAAAATAATGTAGCATAATTAGGCTAGAGTTCAAAGAGGCATGCACAAAATTTAAGACTTAATTCCAGAAACAGCAACTGAGATCTGTAGCTCAGGCAATCCTAAAAATTATCACCAAAGTACAGCACCATGAAAAAAGAACTTTAAAAAAAAAACAATTGATTCAGTATAATCAATTCTTTCTCGGGGAATATTAAAATCATTAGCTCGTGAAGTTTAATACTTTGAGTGAAACAAAGTATAGAATAGGCATGTCAAGAACGACAAAATAATAAAAGACTAAAAATGTAAGAAGCAACCAGAATTACCAAATAATTATTGATTTGTATACACATAAAAGTGTGGAACTTGGTCTTACCAGTCGTTGCTGCCAGATGAGTATCATTTTCTATAATATCCCCCTCCATGGAAAACCTTAACTCTCTGACCCTCTCAACTCTTTTGCTCCAACCATCCCATAAGCCAGTACCCTTTGGGAATGAATTTGGAATGTTACCATCTAAATCCCCATGTTTTTCTTTCAGGTTTGCATTGCTTGCCACATTGGAATTGCTAGAAGCAGAAGAAACAGTGGAATCAGCCAGAGATTTCTCATTCTGAAAACTATCCTTTTCACCAATGGCAAGTGAACCTGAGTTTGAATGGTTTTTCCTTTTCAACTTGTTTAGTCCACGCTTTTTAAATGCTTCTATTCCAGCAGGACTAAGTTTTGCCAGAATCTCAGCCTGTGCTTCTGCAATCTCATCAGCTGACATTCCTGCTAATCGTGCACGATTTTCAGCATCAATTTGGCTCTCAAGATTCACGGCTGGTCCATTTCCCACATTCTGGGACAAAAAGCCATCAGTTATACGGTCTGTCTGCATCGATTGCCTTCCATTATCAACTTGAACATCTTCACTCAACTTCTTCAATCCAATGGACGGCATACCCACATTACCTTCTTCAACATCAATGGTCGTATCTGAAACGATTTGCTCTTGTTCTTTGATTACTTCTGGCACTTCAGACTCCTTGTCATGCATAGTTGCATCCTGTGATATTGATCCACTATTTAACTTGCCCACGTTTTCACATTGTACCTTGAAATTTTGTTGCTCTTTCGAACCATCTTCCTTCTTGTGCAGCCTAGAATTGTTTCCACCATCCACAATCTCTCGCCACCTACTAAAGTCCAAGCCTTTCTTGTCTTTCCTTGGCACAGCGTTGGCAAAAGCCCCAATTTTGTTCAATCCTGTGACATCTTCCTCTTCTTCTGCTTCATTCTCCGCTTCTTCACCATTATAAATAGAACCTTGAATTTTCGGCTTCCAATGCTAAAGAAGATAAGTATATACTCGAATTAGTGGATTTGCCATATTTATTTTTCTTAGCGCATGATATTTAGACTTTACACGTTCTTCAATTTATCATTAAAGCAATAAGGACAGAGAGATAAAAATTCCTATCAGAAATTGGAAGTATTGGATGGAGAGACAGTTGTATAAGGAGAAAATAGAGAGGGGAGGGGAGGGGGTTACCGGACCGTGGGAGCGATGACGAGCGGCAGGGAAGGGTAGAACAGTGGGGCGAGGAGGAGCAAGGGAGAAACCAGGACGGGTGCTAGTGTCCGAAAAACCCTTTTCGACTATGCCGCCGACCAGACGTGAGGCGTCGTCTTCATTGAGCTGTGCTCCAAATATTTTCCGACCTCCACTCTGTTTCTCCATCGCCGATGCTCTCCTTAGTTTGTCAATAGCGTAGTAGAAGAAGAATAACTGAAGAAGAAAAAGTTTTCAAGTGTCTTGGATTTGGATGATGGGCGGGACGGGGAAGCCTTTACGCTCTAGTCTCTCCTCCTCGGGGTTTCACTGCTTCAGCCTTGAGCCTTCAGTCAAGAAATTTCCAACTTTATTAAATTAAATTTTGAGAATATTTGTGTTTTATTTATTATTATTTTTTTAAATTTTTGAGAAAAAGTCTTGTTCTTGTAGAGGCAACATTTACACTATGGGAGGCCACTATATGTATCGTTTTGAAAATTAAAGGGCAATATTTATATCATTAATAATTCAGGGGTTACATTGATAATTGGCATATTATAGAAGGGCATAAATTACTATTTTTCCTAATTTTGATGTTTGAAATTATCACTTAGGTTTTAAATGTTTTATTATTAAAAATTTAACTAATTTAACACTTTGACTAGGAGTTGACAGAAAACGGGACACCTAATTCCTAACCGGGACTGGAATGAGGAATATTTTCAATTCTCCGTCACGTTGTCACCCCTAATTGTAGGGATGAATAAGACGATAAATTTTATATATATATATATATATATATATATATATATATATATATATATATATAATAAACGGGATTCAAATTTTTATGAAATAATCCTCAATGAACAAAAGAACGAAATGAAGGAAAAATTCAAGTTGCGTGTAACATATATACTTTTCTAAAAATTGATTCACTACCTTCCGAAAGTGCTAGAATAATTGTAGCGGCAGCTTCCTATAATAAAATGGATTACAGTAATATAGTTGAGCACTCAAGTTATATTACTTTCGGCAAAGTAGAACACAAGAATAGCACTTCGAATTTTTTTGTTGGAAGTGTTGACACAAATTTATAAGAAATGATTTTGGAGAGATAAAGAGATAAAAATCAAAAGAAGTTATGAACACTCAATAAATATTACATTTTTTAGAATAAGTAACAATCAATCAATTTATCTCATTTTAGTATTATGTTTTTCTCATAAAATTTGCATTTTTCTTCATAAGTAATAATTAACCAATTTATCCATGTTTATTATTACACTTTACATATTAATGGCCCATTTGGTTCACGGAATAGGCTAGGAATGACATAGCATTCTCAGTAATAGGCCTATTACTTTGTTTGGTAAACACTTATATTACCAGGAATAATATTCCTAGTAATAGCCTATTACCAGGAATAATATTCCTAGTAATAGCCTATTACCTCAAATAAGGTAATAGCTATTACCACCCCTGGTATTAGTCTATTTCTGAACGCTTAATGCTGCGAAGCTAATAAGTAATACAATGTCAGAGGTTTGGTAAAAATTTGTCCGATGGTCTTCAATATGATCGTGATGTGGATATGTTTTAGAAGCTTGAACGTGCATTAAAAGAGGTTGATGGTTTGACAAATGATGAAATGGACCTTGTTTCGTTTAAGCTCACTGATCATCCTAATAAAGTAGCTTTTTTTTTCTCTCAATCTTGATCCTGATCGAAGACTACAGTGGATCAGAAGATTCCTTGCTATCAATTAATCATTCTTCTTCATAGTTATATTTTATGAACATTGTAACTTTCATTGACTATTTTGTTATTTATATGACTATTTTGTTTCATAATTTACAAATCATTATTTTAATATTATTGATAAGGAATAATGGTGATATGTTGATTACCAGGACGTTGGCTTCATGATGATCATATATGAATTACTAGTTGAAATAATGATGATGATGAATGATGATGATGATGATGATGATGATGATGATGATGATGATGATGATGATGATGATGATGATGATGATGATGATGATGATGATGATGATGATGATGATGATGATGATATGATGATGATGATGATGATGATGATGATGATGATGATGATGATGATGATGATGATGATGATGAATGATGATGATGATGATGATGATGATGATGATGATGATGATGAATGATGATGATGATGATGATGATGATGATGATGATGATGATGATGATGATGAGATGATGATGATGATGATGATGATGATGATGATGATGATGATGATGATGATGATGATGATGATGATGATGATGATGATGATGATGATGATGATGATGATGATGATGATGATGATGATGATGATGATGATGATGATGATGATGATGATGATGATGATGATGATGATGATGATGATGATGATGATGATGATGATGATGATGATATGATGATGATGATGATGATGATGATGATGATGATGATGATGATGATGATGATGATGATGATGATGATGATGATGATGATGATGATGATATGATGATGATGATGATGATGATGATGATGATGATGATGATGATGATGATGATTGATGATGATGATGATGATGATGATGATGATGATGATGATGATGATGATGATGGATGATGATGATGATGATGATGATGATGATGATGATGATGATGATGATGATGATGATGATGATGATGATGATGATGATGATGATGATGATGATGATGATGATGATGATGATGATGATGATGATGATGATGATGATGATGATTGATGATGATGATGATGATGATGATGATGATGATGATGATATGATGATGATGATGATGATGATGATGATGATGATGATGATGATGATGATGATGATGATGATGATGATGATGATGATGATGATGATGATGATGATGATGATGATGATGATGATGATGATGATGATGATGATGATGATGATGATGATGATGATGATGATGATGATGATGATGATGATGATGATGATGATGATGATGATGATGATGATGATGATGATGATGATGATGATGATGATGATGATGATGATGATGATGATGATGATGATGATGATGATGATGATGATGATGATGATGATGATGATGATGATTGATGATGATGATGATGATGATGATGATGATGATGATGATGATGATGATGATGATGATGATGATGATGATGATGATGATGATGATGATGATGATGATGATGATGATGATGATGATGATGATGATGATGATGATGATGATGATGATGATGATGATGATGATGATAATATCATAATAATAATAATAATAAATTTTTTTGTACAAGGACATTTATGTCTTTTAAACATATATTCTATTCCTATTCCTTAACCAACCAAATATTGGAATACAGTTCTCAATGTCTATTCCTTCAACGAATCAAACAACAGAATACAAATTCTATTCTATTCGTTACTTATTCCATTCCCTATGGAATAACATTCATATTCCCTCCAAATTGATTCCGTGAACCAAACGGGCCATAAATGACTCTTCGATTCTTACATATTACATTTTTCATCAAAAAAATAATACTTTTGCCCAAAAATATTACATTTCCCATCATAAATAATGACAATAATCTTTCCTGAAAGTTGATAAAGATGATACATCAAGTCAACCATCATCCTTGTTGTTGTAACATGGAATTGATGCAAATCTGTTGCAATTGAGGGGGGGCCTCAATTCGAGTGATCGTGGGATCTCATGCCGGTTCTTCAAAGAAGGAGCTCTTCAAAGATTAGTTAAGTACTAGTAATCTGTTTATGAGTCCTTCGTGTTCTTCATTGTGTTTGGTATCATCACTTCCTTCATGTGATGCCCCCCTGACTTAGGAGTTGAATTCTCTGAATTGGGTTATCAACTATGTGTGTTCTTTAGTGTCGTCTTGCTATTTATGTATGCTTTAATTGGGTGAACTACTTACTGCAATAATCGTTGAACTAGTTTAGAATGCGAACGTTATAGGAAGTGTAAGCCTGCATAACTATGTTCGTTACTTATGGTTTAACTAACCCCTAAATCATTCCGAAGTAATTGGATTGTTGCCCATCTATTGGCTAATTTTCAACAACAATTCACACTCTTATTGGCATACTACAATCATGATACACATATAGTGTAATATTTATGTACATTATTGATGTAGTAAATACGGGCGTATACTACGTATTAATGTACTACGATATGCTTTAGCTACGATTCCTTCACCTAGTCTGCTTGTTGGTTTAAGTATGGAGGCTCGAAAGACTTGATAGTAAGCTAGAAGTTCCCGAGCTCACAGTTAGCGCGTAGAAGTTTCCAAAAGTTCCCCCTCACTGCAATAAACGCGGTATTTATAGGAGTGCGAAGGGAACATGAACCGATTTCTCGGCATGGATGGCACGTGGATTTCATGCACTGGTCCGGATCGGGGCCCAAAGTGGCTCGCCCATAGATTCTTGAGTCCATAAGGTATGCTGTTGCCCTGTTTAGTAAAGGGAATTAGGTTGGTAGCTTGGGGCAAAACGATTAATGCAGCCCCCAAGCCTGGTCGTTTAACGATAGACTCAGTTTTAATTTAGGTCGGGAGATGGAGTGTACTAGGTCGATACTAGTCGGATCGGGACCCACTTGAGTGACGGGTTGGATACCAACCAAGTGTACGTTGCGGTGGAGTAGGGGATAATCCCTATCAATTATTTAAAAAAAATAATAATAACATTATGAATTTACTAGAGTGAATGAAAATATTTATGATATACATGCAACTTAGTGTACGTTTATGTACCTTAGATTTAGATTTATGATCATATAAAATAAATGTTATGAACATAGTATATGATGGATACTATTAAATATGATGCACTTGTAAGGTAATGTTTATGTATGTTAAACTTTGTTTTTATGAACATATAGAATGAACATTATGAATCTATTATAAAGTGAATGAAAATATATATGATATACCTAGCTACAATTTAGTATTTATATATATTAAGGTTTAGATTTATAAACATGTAGAACAAATATTATGAATATAGTACATAATATATGATGATTGTTATTAAAATGATGCACTATTTGATGTCGTTAATGATTTAAAATAAAACAATGTCATTTAAAACTAGGTGCAAAATAGATCATATCGCTGGATGATATAATTTATAAAATCCCAAACAACTACAGTGAGTAATGGACGACCAAAGTTTATTATATATAGCTAATATAATAGTAGAATATTAATAAATATTCTAAAACTTTATAAGAATGAATGAATAAAAATTACAAATTAAAGGATGATTGAGTCAATTTTGGGTTAATGGACTTGTCTAAAGAATTAATTAGTTTGTGAGTATATTGAGGAGTGAAACTCTTGTACGGATGAGTCTTCGAATTATAGCTTCCAGCTCCCATTCAAGATCCCCCACCGCCATCTCCACCGCCTCCAACCTCGTATTCGCGCACTGCAGCGTCACGGCGTCGCATTTCTCCCACCGGCTCAGGCTGTTCACTCTCATCAGCTTCGCCGCAAAGGACGACGGCGACGACCCTCGCGCCGCCGGCCGGTCGGGGCACGGCATCGACATCAGCGACATCACCGCCTCCACCATCGCGATCGTCGCCGCCCTCACTTCTCTCAGCACGTTCACCACCGCCCTCAGATCGTCGGCGGCGGCGGCGCTCATCTCCTCCCGCTCCCCGTCGCCGGCGACGAACGCCGCCGCCAAGCACGCGTTCTTCTTCCGCATCCCTTTCAGCGAATTCATCCGCTTCATCATGTCTTTCCTCAGCTTCTTCCGGTCGCACCGGTACACCTGCAGCTTGCTCTCCCCGCACGCCGTTTCTCCGACCATGATTCGCCGGAACGCCGACCGGAGATCGTGAAGGTGGTCTTTCACCCGCAGAACCACGTCTTTTGTGGTCCCACACACTTCCAGCATTCTTAGCGACGCTTCGGAAACCTCGTGCACGAGTTTTTCCTGTCGATGGGTGGCGATTTCCCGTTTGATTACCGGCGAGTGAAGCAAATCGTTGGCAGAATCGTGTAAATCCCTCAATGCATCGAAGTTTAGGACTGCCATTCGTTAAATTATATTAAAGGATCCAAATAAAATGTTTTTGTTTTTTTTCTGAACCAAAACACTAGGTTTAATCAAGAAAATGTCTTAGTTTCTTGGATTTACGTATGGCTGAAACACAGTGCATGTAATGCATATATATATATATATATATATATATATATTGATGAGCTGAGAAGGAGAGATCTGATAATCGAGATGGATCTGTAGGAAAAGGATAGGAAGGATCCTTCCTTGTACGGACATGTCTTACAATTGGCAACAGCTAAGGTACCATTTTTGTCTACACGAACCTTCCTATTGCAGAGATACAAACAAAATGGTTATCTCATATATTTACAAGAAAAATGCACCTATAGACAACAATCCAAAGGCTTGTCTTTGAGCTGGACCAACAACAACAACACCGAGTTCAACAACAATCTAAAGGAAAACCGTTATTTTTGACATATATGTAAGACAATAGTTTTAAATCATAGTCTTTGAGTGGAATATACAACAACATGACTTCAACATAAATCTAAAAGACATCTATTTTTCACCGTTATTATGTACATTTTTTTTGTAGTGCGTGTCAATCTAAAGTCTGAACTGCACACCATACCTTCAGTAGACTTGATATACAATTTATTTTCTTATACTTGCGCGATCTTTAGTGCCATGTTTTGACAATTATTATACCATGGATCGTGGTCCACCTTACAATATGGACATTTGACATAAGCTAAGATTTTTTTTTAATATATATATTGACAGTTCATTTTAATACATTGAATGACCATTTTCTGAATGTTATATATATATTTTTGTATGATAAAGATTCATTTTTAGGTATGCTACAAAATAATAGACTATCAATCCATTAAAAATGAACATTTATTCATGGTCCACATTGTAATCTGGATCATTGTCAATTATAATTTGTCATGTTTTGATAGTAGGATACTAATTAGTCATTAGTTGTACATCATATCAACCCATTTATATTCTAACCAATTAACTTAATTTAACTAAATAAAAATTAATTAAGATATTGATTATCGTTCACTTGTCCAGCATCTTACTCTAGAGAAAATACTACATAATGGATACTGTTGTTGTTGACTTGTTGCAAAATGGGATACAAGCCTACAATAAAAGAACATGCAATAATTATAAACGAATATTAGGTTCATGCATGCACGAGGGGGGAAGGAAGCCAGCCTGTGATCAATCATCAATATATTTCTCGCCATGCAGAAAAAAAAAATTATGGATTAATATATTTTCTTTTGTTTGTATTTGCAGACAAGATGTTTGGTAATGAAGGTCTAAATAGGGGCATTAAGGAATTAATCTGGGTGTTTTAGGATTAGTTATAACTGTATATTGTTTTGTTTCCTTCGACGTCGTACAACAAATCTTGGATTAAGATTCAATTCGCCTATGCGGAACTTCCACGAAGTATCCACCAAAACAAGTTTAATTTTGTTGTTTGATTTAATTTGAAAGAATTTATTATAGATAATGGCCGGTAACATTGTTAGCTTATTCGATCACTATTAGTTATTTGATTTGGTTAAACAATCAATATGAGTGTTTGATTAATTAGTTTTTTGTAACAATTTATTGCTTCAAAATGATAAAATTAAAAAGCGGCTCAAAGTAGTTTTTTCGATCAATTTTAATTTTTGAAAAAGTCATTTTGCATGTATTCACTATCAGCTAATTTATCAAATATTTTTCTACAATCAGCTAGCTAATACTATCAACTAGTCAAACACATTAACACAATCAACTAACAGTTATTTACCAAATACCCTCAATATAAGAGAAGCACCACTAAGGTCTGATTCTATGATCACCCATTTAGAATAGAGGTGTTTGATTCCCATGACCTCGCATATAGGAAAGTCACTTCGTGTCACTAGACCACAAGGTTATTATTATTGAATTGAATTTAATTGTCTTTTATGGTAAATTGTGTGTATTATTTACATTTAGAATTTATGATTTTTTAAAAAATTTCCATTTAATAATAGTTTTTTTCTTATAAATATTTAGATAATTAGATTTTTTATTAGTTATTGTCATTATTGATATCTAATTATTTGTAATTATTAATCTCTACAGTTTATTTAAAAATAATATCCTATAATATATACATAATAAGTTGATTTGTTAATATATTACTATTAGCTGTATTTCAATTGGTTCTTTAATGTAATTTGTTTATATGATTCTCATTACAATTTATTTTGTTTCCATATATAGGAATTTTTTTTTATGTTGATAAATAAGATATTATTATGATTAATATTATTTATTGATGATTTTTCATTATCTATTTGTAATTAATAATCTAGCTAGGCTTATTGGGTTAGATCACGAGGTTTCCTGAGCAGGCTCTAACGGTAGGAGGCACCTTTAAGCCCGTACCATACTCAGACTAATTAATTCCCGTTCGCACTGGATCGACCCAATTAAGGGACATAGTGTTGACCAAATTGATTTTTTCATAAAATAGGGGGTTCGAACTCTCAACGTATCTTAAGAGACAAGAGTGCACGACTACCCACGCCAACCAAGCTGGTTATCTAGGCTTATTATTTAGATATTATTTTAATGCAACTACAAAATAATAAGATACTCCGTAATAATATAATATATATGGTTGGTTTTTAGACCCAAAGATGTTATGGTTAATCATTCAATTGATAGCAAATTTAAGGAAACCAATATGAGAGAAGAGAAAGGTGGGTAGCATGAAAGTCCAAAAAGTTTACAAGTGCTAAGCTACAAGACCAGTTGGGTAGCATAACATTGCCTTTTTCCATTTCTCGTAAAATCGAATCCCCTCTCCAAGTCGTGTTCCACTCCATTTATACTACTTGTGACTTGTGAGTGGAGATAGATTGTCCTTTTCCATGTTGTACCAATTGTCTCTGTACTATGCTGTCGTTTCATGGTTTGGTTATGTGGCATTGTGGCCCTGTCAAAATCCTTTTGCTCATTTCCTTTGAAAATGGGTCGAACTGAGCTTCATTCACACCATCGGACCATCCTTTCCGGCAATTTATATCGTAGACCAGGGTCCATAATGTATTGTGGACTCTGATTCAATACACATAATTTAACTTTATAATGTATAGAAGTTATGTTCATAATACACACACATAAACACGATATAATGAAGACATATAAACATTTAACATAATACACAAAATTCATATTCATAATGTACAGAATATTTGTTCATAATGTACAGAATTCATGTTCATTAAATCATGTTTATGAGTATGTGTATTATGAACATGCATAAATTTTGTACATTATGAACATGAATTCTATACATTATAAAGTCAAATTATGTGTATTGAATTGAACCAGGGTCCACGATATAACGATTGATCCTTTCCCAATCGTTATACCATGCACCAAGGTGCACATAGCACTGTGCGCCCCGCGCCTCCCAAAACGACGTCGTTTTGTTAAGTTGTTAAAAAAAAAATCCTCTATTTCGAATGCACATAAACTCATAACATAATACACATAAACTCATAACATAATACACATAATCTAACATAATACATAATACACATAAACTTTTAACTGCCTGAATACACATAAACTCATAACACAATACACATAAACTTTTAACTGAATACACATAATGGGGTTTGGTTAACATAATACACATAAACTCTTAACTGAATACACATAAACTCATAACACAATACACATAAACTTTTAACTGAATACACATAATGTGATTTAATTTGTTCAAACGAACGGAGTGACGTCAGCAAAAAACGCGTGCGTTTTGTGTCTGAGCGCACATTACTATGTGCGTCGTGGTGTACGATATAAATTGCCATCCTTTCCTGGGTTAGCCGGGCTTCCCTTTGTTGGGCTGGAGTATGATTCGTACTCATAACCCCAACAATATACATAATCATTTCATTAGTAGTAGTAGTAATGATAATAATAATAACCAGAGGTCGAGTCTCACAAGCGGCAGTGTAGGAGCAACCTCTGAAAGTGAGGGGGGCTCTTTGTGCGCAGTACGTAATCAAAGGTCTAGCCTCTGTGGTTCATGTTCAATTGAGTTACCATGATTTACATCCTTTCAGATGCTCTATCGGGCCCTTAGTGTTGGGGTTCAACCTTTTTGGAATAATAATAATAATAATTAAATTCATTTCAATTGTAAATATATAAGAACTTATTTTGCTTCCCTTACATGATTTTTTTTTTTTTTTTTTTTTGTATGGAGTATGATGAATGGTATACTGGCCTTGGGTCACATGGATCGACCTAAGAAATTAAAGTAACTGGATCAAGGAAGTCCAGGAAGGATACACAGTACGAAGTAACTCAAGCGTTTAATAAGGATTGGGCTTAATATTCATCATGTAATAAAGGTTATGATCATTAATTATTCCTAATGTAGTTGTGTTAGTGCTTATTATTCCTAATGTGCTTATTATTCTCAATGTAAAAATGAATCCACTATGAGGCAGTCTATGCTTTCTATTCCTTATATGTATAAATAGACCACATACATGGGGAGAGAGACAAACAATTCTCCGTAATACAAAATATTTATTCTCTATAGATTATCTCCATATTTTATATATTTTTCTATATACTTGTTATTTTAACGGTTGTGTCGGCCACTCGTTGACTGTCCAAAACTCCAAAAGTCATAAAATCAACAGAGTAATTTTTAAAATTACCAAATATTATTTTTATTGGTATTTCCTAGTTTTTAAATATAAAATAAAAACGAGTTAATACCCAAAATCGTCCTCGACTATAGTGGTTTTTCTCAATTTCGTCCTAAACGACTTTGGTGACCTAATATCGTCCCAGACTTTTGTGTTTCGCTCAATTTAGTCCTCCATTTGTTATTCCGTCAAATTGGTGTTAAATAAATAAACAATTCAGTAATGTCAATATTGATCTCTCTTTACTTTCAACTTGTGAAGTGCGAAATTTCTCTTTCTTGTACAAATTACACCCAGAATTACTCCCGGACCTGCAAATCAAATTTTATATTCGCAGTTTTAGGAGTAATTCGTAAAAAAAAAAAAAGGATTTCGCAGTTCACATGTCTATGAGTAAAGAGATGCCAATATTAAAATTACTGAATTGTCTATTTATTTAACACCAAATGGACAGAATAACAAATGAGGGACTAAATTGAGCAAAAACACAAAAGTCTGGGACTAAATTGAGCGAAACACAAAAGTCTGGGACGATATTAGGTCACCAAAGTCGTTTAGGACGAAATTGAGAAATACCACTATAGTCGAGGACGATTTTGGGTATTAACTCAAATAAAAACTAAATTAACAATGAATCATTTTAATATAATATGGATTATATGGTTTGTGCTATTTATTTATTATTCTTAAATTATTTTAGTATAATCATAATTTTAACATTAACATTAATGTTGAAAAATTACTTTTGCACATTGCTCATATATATACAGTAATATAATGCAACAACAATCATGTAGGAAAATAAGGTAAAATAAAGGTAATATAACTACTTAGAGTTGTACCTTGTAATATTTTTAAATATTTTAATTTTACTCTTTATACACTTAATTGCACTTATTTCTGATATCATATCTATAATGATTTTGCTACTTGCTAGTATCTTGTTTAGTTTGATGGAGTATGGTGTTTAATTTATTAATACTTGATTTTCATGCATTCTTAACAAAAAATAAAAAATAAAAAATATTCACTTTACAACATGCTAATAGGATTTTGGTCATATATCTTTCAAATGAAATCTAATTGAGATGATTCAAGTGTTCATGGAAAGCTAAGATGACCCTCTATAACTTTTATATTCATTGTTTTTAGAGGTTTGGGGCAAATCAAGGTCAAAGAATCGGAAAAATTTTAATACGCTTAAATTAAAGACACGTTTATGTCGTCCAGGCAATGTCTCCTTGACACGCCTGGAGTAAAGAAAAATGTTAGATTTCAACATGACCATGCAAGGGCGTGTTGATGGTCGCAAAACTATATTTTAGTGGCTTTTTAGTCATTTGAAGGTACTTTTTAATCCAAGATATGAAAGAGATGGTCTAAGGAACTTTGGACTTCAACCATAATTTGGGAGGCAACTTTATATCTTGGAGAAGTTGGTAATGAACGAAGCAAAAAGCGGTTAGAGGAAGAAGATAAGATTGGGAATGAGAAGAGTAACACTGTTTCATTAGCTGGAAAAAAGAGAAGAATACAAAGCTTAAGTACATAGCCATTTTGGGCGGTAAAGATGGTTACAAGCTGTTGTAACAGACTTTAGCCAAGCCTAATTACACAAACACCCTCACTTCTTTATTTCATCTGAGGGTGTATTTGTCTTCTCCAATACCCCCCGGTAAGCTGGAGCGTACAAATTTTGTATGCCAAGCTTATTAATGAAGCAGTGAAACAGAGACGTGGGGAGGGGCTTTGTGAAGCCGTCAGCCGTTTGATTCTTAGTTGAAACAGATAAGAGCTTGATCAATCCTTTGGTTACCTTCTCACGAACCACGTGGCAATCGATCTCTATATGTTTGGTGCGTTCGTGGAAGACATAATTCTCTGCAATAGCCACCGCAGATTTGCTGTCACAAAATAGAACTGCAGGCTTAGTAACCGAGACTTTGAGATCATGAAGTAAGTATGTAAGCCACTGTATTTCACACACGGTGGCTGCAAGAGCACGGTATTCAGCTTCTGAACTGGAGCGGGAGACAGTTGCTTGCTTCTTTGATCTCCAAGATATAAGAGAAGAGCCAAGAAAAATGCAAAAACCAGTGACGGATTTGCGTGTTTCATTGCATGCCGCCCAATCGGAGTCCGAGAAGGCTTTGATATGTAATCTTGTTTGTGAGGGATAGATTAATCCTTGACCAGGTGAGGCTTTAATATATCGTAGCACTCGGTGAGCCGCTGTCAAATGTATGTCTGTAGGGGCATCTACAAACTGGCTAAGCTGTTGGAGGGCATATGCGATATCAGGCCTAGTGGCAGTAAGGTATAGAAGTCTCCCTATCAGTCTTCTATACATGCTAGCATCACTGAGCAAAGTGCCTTCCTTGTGTACAAGTTTTAGACCTGGAATCATGGGTGTAGCTGCCGGTTTGCACTCAAGAAAGCCAGCTTCTTCTAATATTTCCAGTGCATATTTCCTCTGGCACAAGCTTAAACCATCTTTTCCCATGTGTGCTTCAATCCCTAGGAAGTAACCAAGAGGTCCCAAGTCTTTGATTCTAAAGGTGGAGTCCAGGAATTGTTTCAAACTTGTGATAAGGCTCATGTTAGAACTAGCAACAAGTATATCGTCAACATACACAAGAAGGGCAATGACACTGTTGCCATCACCTTTTGTGAATAGAGAGGGGTTAGCTTGAGATTGGCTGAAACTAATATGAATAAGAGCTGAGCTAAGTTTTGCGTTCCACTGGCGGCTTGCTTGCTTCAAACCATATAAGGAGCGTAATAGCCTGCATACTTGTTTCGGCTTTTCACACTCAAAACCCGGGGGTAACACCATATAGACTTCTTCGTTAAGGTCACCATGTAAGAAAGCGTTATTGATATCCAATTGGTGGATGTGCCATGATTTGGAAATAGTTGTGCATATGAATGTCCGAATTGTTGTCAGCCTAGCAACAGGGGAGAACGTTTCGAGGTAATCAACTCCTAGTTGTTGTGTGAAGCCTTTCGCCACAAGCCTCGCTTTATATCTTTCAACCGTGCCATCGGCCTTTAATTTTACTTTGTATACCCACTTGCAGCCTATAGGGATCTTTCCCGGTGGTAGTTCGGTGAGTTCTCAGGTTCTGTTTTCTTGAAGAGCTCTAATCTCTGCAGACATAGCTTCCTTCCAGCATGTATGTTTAACAGCCTGGTTGTATGTTCTTGGTTCGGTGGTGGATGTGACTGCCATAGAAAAGGCTCTATGGGATGGCTCAAGAGTGTCATAAGTCATCACCTTTGATAGGGAATGGGGTGAAGACCTCTGTTGAGTGACACTGTCACAGTAGTAATCTTGCAATCTGCTAGATGGCTGCCTTTGTCTGCTAGACCGCCGAACTGGAGGGGTAGGAATCGAATTAGAGCTGTCCATGTTATCTTCAATGTCATCAACATGGTCATTGGCCACTGTGGCTGTGTTGTCATTGCTAACATCATGATGGACACTTCGTGCAGAATGATAGGAGTTCTGAGATCTTTCTGATGGTGACCGAACAAGATCTTGATCTTGTTCATAGCTCTTTTCACATGGCTGATGGTTCATGTGAAAGTTGACATCTCCAAAATCCGTTGTGGAAATATTTGGCAGGGAAGGCTCCATATTCTGTGAGCTATTTGTGTCATCATTCTGGGATGCAAGAGGGAATTGATTCTCATAAAAAGCCACATCACGGGATATGAAGGTGATCTTGGCATTGACATCATATAGCAGATAACCTTTTACACTTGCAGGCATGCCGATGAAAACACATTTCTACTTCGTGGTGCCATTTTGTGTCTTGAAGTAGATAAAGTTGCAGCATAGCATAAGCATCCGAAAACTTTCATGTTAGTAAGGTCAGGATTCTTACCATAGAGCTTGTAGTAAGGACTTGACCAACCAATGACTACAGAGGAGAGCCTGTTAATGATATATACTGCATGAACAACACATTGCCCCGAGAATTCAAGAGGGAGACCGGCTTGAAATCTCAGAGCTCGAGCAACGGCCAATACATGTTGGTGTTTTCTTTCAACCACCGCATTCTGTTGAGGAGTATTCACACATGACTGTTGATGAATGGTTCCGTTCTTATCAAATTCATCCTGCATCTTGAACTCTAAACCATTGTCACTCCTTATGGTTTTTATAGATACTCCGAATTGTGTATGAACCATCTTATAGAAGTCTCTAATCAATCCCATCGTTTCTGATTTATTTCGCATGAGTTTCAACCATGTGAATCTAGAACAGTCATCAACAATGGTTAAGAAGTATCTCTCCCCTTTTAGAGACTTGATGTGGAAAGGTCCCCAGATGTCCATGTGGACAAGATCAAAACAGGCTGCAGACATAGTATTGCTCAAAGAAAACGGGGATCTTCTATGTTTTGCAAGATGGCAGATATCACAAATCATGTTCTTCGTGTTAGGGACAGAAATATCTAAAAAATGCAGTTTATTCAAGGGAAAGTGCCCCAATCGTTGATGCCATAGCTCAACGTTATTACAATGCATAGAATCATCAAAATTACAAGCAACAGTATCAACAGATTTAGCTACTGGTGGTTTATTCAGCAGGTACAGGCCCTTATCCTCTTTAGCAAAGCCAGTCATCTTCCCATGGTCCACTAGAAGACACTGACCACAGGAAAATAGCAAAGAGTGAGAAGAATTTTTCAAGAGTTTGTTCACTGATATGATGTTGAATTTGAATGAGGGAATGTGTAAGGCATCTCTCAACCAAAGATTATTATTTAACTTTACACTTCCTATATGTTCAACAGCAGCACAATTCCCATTTGGTAGATTAACCATAGCCCCTTTCACAGCATAGTATTCATCAAATAATTCAATAGAGCATATAATATGATCGGTAGCCCCTGAATCTATGATCCACTCAGCAGAATTTAAAGAGATAGAGTTAATTGCACACTTGCCTTCCAGGTTATGAGCATTACTGTTGAAATTGGGAGCCAGCGATACTGTGGCACTGGTGGATTGTTGTGTTTTAGAGGTCATAGGGACTGCTGCATTGATTGATGGTTGTTTGTGTCTAATCTGATCCTGGAGGAGGGAAATAAGATTTTGAATCTGCTGCATAGATGATGAATTGAGATCAGATTGCATGGCATTGGTGGTGAGTTGTTTCCCTTTGGACTTATAGCCTGGCACCCAACCCGGTGGATACCTGTGCTTCTTGTAGCACTTCTCAATTGTGTGTCCGTTCATCCCGCAAAAAGTACACTTAGCAGTGTTCTTCGTTCCTCCACCTGAGTTTATGAACCTCTTGCCATTAGAGAAATTGGCAGCAGCAGCAATCGATTCATCAAGTTGTATCTGTTCATTCTGAACTGCATTTGCGTGTCCAATCTCTGCTTCAAGATGACTCAAGTTACTGTGGTTGAGTTGTCTCTCGAACTTTTCCGCCATGACTAGCACCTTGTGCATTTCGGGAAGAGGCTCAAGAACAAGAACTCCGGACTTCAAAGAGTTATACTCTTCATTCAGACCTTGCAAAAATCTGATAACGTGATCAATCTCTCGATCCTTTCTGATTTCAGCCACCAGATCACAAGCACAGTTACAGGCACACCGTGGTGTGCATTTGGAGATTGGGAGGGGTCGAAGAGCATTCATCTCTTCCCACAAAGTGCGGCATTTGGTGTAGTACTCATTAACGGACAATCCTCCTTGTTTCAGTCCATATATTTCATTCTGCAGAGATGAGATCCGATGTGAATCTTGTTGTGAAAACCTCCTTCTCAGATCGTTCCAGATTTCCTTTGCTTCGCCTATATACATCACGCTTTGCGCTATGGACGTGTGAACGGACCTCAGAATCCATGAAGACGTGATTAGATTGCATCGACGCCAAGCACCATATTGAATGTGAGCTTTATCCGGCACCGGAATACTCCCGTCAACCAGCCCCCATTTGTTCTTGACCTCCAGGGCCACACGCATCGAGATGCTCCAAGATGCATAGTTTCCGCTACCGGTGAGCACAGGACTGACGAGAAATGCGTTAGGATTCTCGTTGGCACTCAAATAGAGAGGGTTCTCAATGTCTTCATTGTTGTTCCTCTGTGGAACTGGAATGCCCTGGCTATTTGCTACTGGTGGTGCGTGATCTGGTGATCTGGCCGTTGACGTTGCCGGATGAATTCCATGGCTAGGTTCTCCGACGACCGCTGCGGCGTAACTCCCTGATCGGAGCTCTGATACCATAATGAACGAAGCAGAAAGCGGTTAGAGGAAGAAGATAAGATTGGGAATGAGAAGAGTAACACTGTTTCATTAGCTGGAAAAAAGAGAAGAATACAAAGCTTAAGTACATAGCCATTTTGGGCGGTAAAGATGGTTACAAGCTGTTGTAACAGACTTTAGCCAAGCCTAATTACACAAACAACATCACTTCTTTATTTCATCTGAGGGTGTATTTGTCTTCTCCAATAGTTGGAAATCAAGATTTTTAATTTCATGGATTAAAGGAGTCTTTCTATGTTCTTAAATTTTTTTATCATTTTTATAATTTATTGCATTTTTGCGTCCATGTTTAGAAGCTAACTTTTAGTACTTGAATTTGTGATGAAATGAGACGTTGTTCTTAATTGTTTCTTGACCAAATATAATTATTTATCTTTTGATTCAATCATGTTTTTCATTATCATTATATTGGATTGATAATTATTGCTAGTTTATTAAATTCATGTTTGATGCATGTATTTGAGATAGAGATATCCCTTGCATATTTAGATCACCACACGATTGAAAGGAGTGACATGCAATCCTAGAGATAGGATGAAATCAATGATATTTGTGTTCGAGTCAAATTGTTCAATAGAACTCACAAATCACTACTGAAAATTATGAAATTTCCGATCACTGAAAGTTATCTTAAATCAAGTCGAAAGTCTTGTTCCGTCCACTTTTGGTATCCGGAAAAACCTTTGCTGTTATTTCCGATTACTTTTTGCTTTCGACTTGATTTAAGATCACTTTCAGGTGGTCGGAAATTCAATAATTTCCAGCAGTGAATCTTTAGTGCAAACTTTAAAGGTTTTAATTTAGAAGAGCTTCCGATTAATCAACATAGTAATTAGTTGTTAATATATTGAGAAAGATACTGACATAAATTGTGAAGTCTCGCGGTCTTAGATATATGTAATTATTTTTAGCATTATTTATTTATCGTAGTCAATTTGGCCATAGGGGGCTCATAGATTCAAGTACTCTTTATCCACCGGTTGATTTCTTTAAATTTGTTTTAGATTCTCCTTGCTTAGTTTTTATTTTTATTTGTTTATTTTAATTATTACTTAATTGATTCCTCATCATATATTTATAACTAGATAATTAATAAAATACTAGTTAGTACTAATACTTGTAGAGTTACAATACTCATTACTCAATCATCTATACTCACATAATATGTGCACTTGCCTAAGCATTTTTGTATACGGGCTAAATCAGGTATCATTGTATCAATACTGCATATACAAATTTTGTAGTGAATTTTAAGGTAATATTATGTTCTCACAAGGTTAATTAAATGCACTTAATATAATATTATATTATTGTAATGTCGTATTATCTTTGAAAAATAAGAATAAGGGTGAAATAAGTCATCTAACTACATGCCAAATTACAATTAGGTCACTGAACTCAAAAATTACAATTGGGTTATTGAACAACGCAAATTCATGCAATTTAATCTAAAATAACTTGTTTACCTGTTTATGCTGAAGTGTCGGTCATTGAATTTAAAAATAATTTTTTAAATTGTATTTTAATAATTTTTAATAAAATAATTAT